ATTATGCAGAAAATCGCAGGAAGACAGTACTGCACCTTAGAGATAGAGGGCAACTACTGGCCTTAAAAATTTTACTTAGTTCTAGGGGAAAGTGTCAGTATGTAGCCTGAGCCAGCCTTGATGTCTCAGACCCCTTGCTTGATACATTTCATATCTGCACAACACCATACTGGTTCTGGGTCCATAAGATGTCTTTGAGATGTGATGCAATTTGCATACAGTAAAAACCATAGCCCTTAAACATACAGATGTGCTTTTATCCCTTTAATCCGTGCTCACATCAATGCAGAGAATATTCTCAGCTTTACGCAAAGGCTGTTTCCCAACCTTTCAGTCAGTAACTCTCAAAGACAATGTGCTGATCCTGTTGTAGCTGTCCTAGAACTCGCTCTGTAGACCAGGATGGCCTTGAACTCAGAGATCTGCCTGCCTCTGCCTCCTAAGTGCTGGGATTAAAAGTGTGTGATGCCAAGCCTGGCTGCTGCTGCCTTTCTTATTGGAGTGTGTTCTTTGCTTTTTCTCTTGACTCATAAATAGAATCATTAGTCTTTCACATCTGACTCCTTTAAACCAACAGTAAATCTGTGGCAGTTCCCCACAGGCATAGTCAGCCCAGCTTCGCTGTTATGTGAATACAGCCTGGTTTCTCCATTCTACCATTGGTGAACACTTGCATTCTTTCTAGTTTGGGGATTTTATGACTGAAACTACAATGGCATATCTTTCAGAGGGTGCATTATTCTTCATGACTTCAGACAGTGCATCTCTCTCTGTGGTACTATAGGTTTTATGTAACTGTAGATTTTAAAAACCAGCCAGAACAAGCATGGCACCAACTATCATGCCAATATGGAAGGTTGAAAGTTCTAGGGCCTCACTCCTAACAAAGAACCAAAGGCAGCTAAGGAATGATGAGAGGAGGAGAAATAGTCTTCTTTAGGGGAAAGCACACCGATAGCAAATGGTCAGCTCCAAAAATATGCACACAAGTGATATTCTGCAGGCAGACTGTATATATTTGGGAATATGCATGTTCTCTCTCTTTCCCTCTCTTTCTCTCTCACACACAGGAACAAATAAAGAAAAAAGAAGCCATGAATTTGAAAGAGAGCAAAAGAAGAGAGTATATGGAAGGCTTTAGAGGGAGGAAATGGAAGAGAAAAAATGATATAATTGTATTATAATCTCAAAAAAAAAAAAAACCAATTTAAAACTAACCTAGTCAGTCATAAATAAACGTTAAGAACTTCCCAGACAGGAAAATTAAGATTCAATGAAGTAAGTTTACAAACCTGTCCTGTGAGAAGAAAGAAGCTAAAATTATTAGAGGGAGAAACAGGTGGAGGGAATGGGAAGGGGGGGAGAGAATTAATGCTAACTTTAGATGAGAGGAATTTGGGGAGTGCTTGGATTGAGTTTTCCTCTTGGCAGAGACCACCTTGGAGGTGTGGAGGTGTTCCCTCTGTTTGCTCCCAATACTGTCTCCATCAAGGAAAGCACTACCCAGGGAGAATTCACAGACTTTGGATAGATGGGACATTATTCAGATCTTTTGCTAGAAACTATCTGGAGGTGGTAGTTCTTTGTCTGGAGGGGGTGGAACATTTTGGAAAAGTGAAGATAGTTGGGGTCAACAACTTGGGAGATCATTTCATTCCAGATGTGATACATGCGCAGTTGGGAGCCAGCGGCGAGTAGCAGTATAAAAACCAAAGGCGCAGCCCTCTTGCTAACTTAGAAAACAGTTCACTTAGAGATGTTCATTTTGACATGCTCTTTCCATGTCTGTTAAAGGATGCTAGAGTTAGCACGTAACTTCATGCCTGTATTGTCATCCCTACCAACTCACTCTTTTGTATTGCCTGGTCAGAAAGTGCATTTCACTTTATGGGGAGTTTTTATTGCTAGTAGTTCTTTTTTTAGAAATACCTCTGTAGTCTATGATGTGCAGGGTTCCCTGCGAGCCTGACATCTCTCTGCATTTTTTAGAGGAGTATCCTACAATGCAGCGTATTTTCCAGTTAGTTCTTGGTCCAGGTTACATCATCATGAGGAATTGTAGGATTACATTTTAATTTATCTATTTTAGAACTGCCTGGGACCAAATAAGCATTGAGTGAGCACTCCCTGTTATTACCGTGATTGGGTTTTTTATATCTGTCTTCTTGGTACATTTGTATTGCTGTGTTCTGTTCTAAGTAATGGGGGAAAGTGGAGTAGTCCAACTGGTAGGGCCTAAGGAGAACAAATGCTATCATGCAGAAAGATTATACCAACTTCAAAGTACAGTTTTGGAAAATCTCTTTAAATCTACTCAATGCACAATGGAAAGCCCCTTAAGAACCAATCTAATTATTCAATTAAATGGAACCGTTCTGCTGACTTTTACTACAGAAGGCAAGCATAATTTAGAAAATGGAGCATTTTAATTCTCTTTTGTCTTCCAATTAACGCAGTTGCTCTAATAGGGACCACTCACTCGTGTTTGAGCACATGTCCTGCTAGAATGTGCTTGTCCCTAATTCCAGTCCTCTCGCTCAGCAAAAGCTGAGACCCTCACCTGTTGACACAGAAGCATATTCGTTATTGTGCTCACACTGCCCACACCATGGGCCCTGAGCACACATCTTCCTGCCTTCAAAGCCACCAAAAGCTGTGGGAGCCCGCAATGCAGCCCCACTTTCCTGGCAGGGATAATTAGGGTGTTGGAGTAACAGAGCTCTCACTTTTTTTGCTGATGCCAGCTTACCACATCAGACCACATGAGTTTGTTCTTAGTTCTTAGTTGAGAGTGGTAAAGAAAATGCTAAGAACATTGCCTTTAATTGGCCAATACTATTTGGATGCTAGTCTACCATTTTATAGTCCTTTGTTTTCAGTTTCCTTCTGCCACCAGCTTATTATAGCAGGTAGTCTCATTATGTAACCCAGGCTGGCCTTGTGTTTGTGACTCTTCACTCTCACAGCCTCCCAAGTGCTTATACAGGCATGGGCCACCAAGCGTAGCTTCCCATTGGCTTTTACTAGTTGTTGGTAGTAATTTGAAAAGACAAACAGACCTTTTCTGTTGCTTTCATGTTTTATCTCCTCCACTATTTATTAAACTCTATAAAAAGGTGGCATTTTCAAATTGGTGAGAAAGCATGCTTTCCATCATAGGCCTCCAACAGTGGGGTGAATGGCACAGATCTTTTTTCTTTAACTGCTCGTGTTGAGGCCGATGTTGGTTCTTAGCTATACAGTGGCCAAATAGCTAATCCCTGTGATGGGATGAATGATGGTGGGGATGGTACCATGCTGTTAAGTTTCGTTTTGTTTTTGTAACTACATACATTTCTTTTTGTATGTTGTATGGGCCTGATTCTCCCTGGACTCTGGATCATATATAATTTGGGACCCTGATTTGGAAAAACATTTCATAAAGTATTAGAAAGTTGTGAAACATGTGTTGTTGTTTTCTCTGTGTGAACTTGTTATTGTAAAGGATATTGAGGACATTCAGGGAGCTGGAGCTGGGCACTATCTGAGCGCAGGCAATGTGGTCCTCAGTTCTTTTACAAGAACCCACACATCACAGCAGGGATGGCCACAGCTGCCCATTAATTCTGTGACACGAAGCTGCAGGTCAGCTGCCAGTGTGGCCCAGGCTCCTCACTGGGTAACATTCTCCCTTCCAGTCTTCATAGAGTTAGTGTGTTCATATAAGAATGGAAAGTTATTTCCCATTCTATTGCAGTGACAGTGCGGAGGGGTGAGGTTCAGAGGAAGGTTGCTCACTTAGGGTTTTTTTTTTTTATGAATGCATGGCATAGCTAGAGATTTAAAAAAAAAAAGAAAGAAAAAGAGAATCATTTAAATTTTGACAGCTAGCTCGTAAACCTTGCAATTAAAAATAGAAATTTGGAAGTATGCTCAAATCAGAGGGTTAATTAGTTTATAGTGGTATTAAAATGCCCATCTAAATGTCTTTAAAGCAGTCAATTAAAATTTAAAACATATAGAAGTTATATCTTTACATTACTTGGAAATTTTACATATATATTATTTAAAATACTTATGTTTAAAGAGCAAAATCAGAACTAAAAGAAGGTAAAGAGTTTCCTAATTCTACAAAGGATGTGTTTTCTGGTTCGAAGTATTTCTATTTCTCTAACACCTGAGGAACAGTGAGGGTGAGAATAACAATGATTACCACTGACTCTAATTTGCACCAACCCAGAGATAGGCTAATTGTGACCTCCTGGGCCAAATCCCATCTTAGTGGGCACACTTTAGCCACTTGCTTACACTGAGTAGTGCTGAGCAGTGGCAAAGGTTCCCCAGTTTAGCCCTCCCTTCTGAACACTATTGTATACACATCACGCATTTAACATCTGAGCCATGCTTGGGCAGCCAGTTTTTTAACCCTTCTCCCAATACATGATGAGATGAAGGCCAAAAGACTTGCCCAGCTCCCTCAGCTAAGCAGAAGAATCTAACACTGAGTTGTTGTGGTGCCTGTCCTGTCCTTAGCGTATTCAGACGTGGTTACAGGTCTAGGGGATCTGAAGCCAAGCCCCTCCATAAAGCCATGCTTAGAGATGACCTCAGACACGTGGCTAAACTGCTTAGTACCCCACCACCGCAATGATTTTTAGTTTATGCAATTCTTTCCTTCTTCTTTTTTCTTTTCCTTCTTTTTTTTGTTGATTTTGAAAGAAGGTCTCCATATTCAACGTAGGCTGGCATCAAATTGAAGTATAGCCCAAACTGAACTTAAATTCATGGAAAGCTTCCTGCCCCTGTCTCCTACAAGCTGGGAGTATAAGTGTGTACCACTTTGCCCAGCTCAAACGAATCTCATGAAGCACTCATTTCATAGATGGGAATGGAAATCTTCAGAAATGATTTTGGCTTTCCCAATGTGCCTTTCGCTAAGTGCAGTGTGAGGGAGGCAATACATGCTGCAAAGGTCTGGTGGATCTCGGTCACACTAATATTCTTGCCCTTGTGATTATCAGGTCCTTCATCGACAGCAGTCCCAGCCGCCCAAGGAGAGCTCCCCTCCCAGAGAAGAAGCGCCCCCGCCCCCTCCTCCAGCTGAAGACAGCTGTGCCAAAAAACCTCGGTCTCGCACGAAGATCTCCTTGGAAGCCCTGGGCATCCTCCAAAGCTTCATCCACGATGTAGGCCTCTATCCGGACCAGGAAGCCATCCACACACTCTCAGCCCAGCTCGATCTCCCCAAACACACCATCATCAAGTTCTTCCAGAACCAGAGGTACCACGTGAAGCATCATGGCAAGCTGAAGGAACACCTGGGCTCTGCCGTGGATGTGGCCGAGTATAAGGACGAGGAGCTGCTGACGGAATCAGAGGAGAACGACAGTGAGGAAGGCTCCGAGGAAATGTACAAGGTGGAGGCCGAGGAGGAGAATGCTGAGAAAAACAAGGCGGCGCCTGCAGAAACCGACCAGAGATAATGTGAACTCCACCAGGCAAAGCAATATATGGGTCCAAGGACTTTCTGTTTTAGTTTCTTAAAAAAAAAAAAAAATCTTCTTGGCTTTGTTTTATTTTGTTTTGTTTTTAAATGTCTGTTTTATTTTTCTTACCCTTAATGGCATCCCTCTGTTACACAGGATAGCCTATAGACTGAGTAAGCTCAGAGTCGCCTTGGCAAAGACACTTAAGTGTTAAACTTTTACAATGACTGGACCGTAGTAATTCTAGTCACGGGAGACCCTGCCGTCATTCTCCTTGCATTTACGGAAGAGAAGAGGCAAGTTCCAGGATGGAAAGACCCACGAAATAAATGAAGGAAGCTACAAGTGTGTGTATATGTATATGTACATATCTCTATATTTACATATATATATTAAAAATTGCATGGGACAGAGAACTTTACAATCTGAAAGACTAGACTGTGAAATGAGTTCTTAAAGAAAAGACTCGTTTATGTATAAAAAAAAAAATACCACTTCACAGTGAGTCGCTTTGACTTTTTGAGAAACTGCGGCCTGCTCTCAGGGCGGGGCGACTATTTTTGAATTCCTATTTATTTTCTGTGTTTGTCCCTGATCTTTTTTTTTTTTTTTTTTTTAATTCTATGGCTTCCTATCTGGCAGCTTAATGGGTAATTTTTGAGGTATGTATTTAACAAAATAACACTGCCAAAAAAAAAAAGTGAGAGAAAGAAGGAAAAGAGAAAGAAAATCAGGGCATGTTAAAAAAAAAAAAAAAGACACAAGACAGATTACTGTTAGAGAAATAACGCACACTTTAAAACAGTGACTCAAGGCCGTGCCCCTCCACATTCCGTTACCAAGCATGTCAGCACTGTAGCCGCTGCGTTCCGTGCAATTCCAAGCGAAGTTCAGTGCAGAGGAAACGTGACCATTAGCGCAGTCTCGAAACAGGACATTTTGACCTTGGACTTACGGAATTCATGCTATGAGCCACATTTTGTTGTGAAGTTTATTTACCTGCTTGTGGCTTCAAACCTTAAGAGTTATTAAGCCTGCTCGTTTAAAATTGTTGGTTGTTACTGTTTCTTTGCCTTTTGTTTGTTTCTGGTTTGTTTTCTTTTAAATAGAACATAGTCTCAATGTAACGTTAGGTTAGAGAAAGAAGTTCCTGCCCGGTTAGAGGGGCTCCCGTTCAAATACATCTCCACCTGCCCTCTCCCCAAGTGTTTCTTATTCCTCTTCCATTTTGGACTTCCTCTTCTTCATATACATTCCACTCACTTTAGCCAAGCCTCCACGCCTTCCCCTGCCACAGCAGCCCTAAACAGGAACCTGGCTTTGAATCATTCTGCACCTCCAGGCAATGCAGAAAGTGAAGCATTTCAGCAGAGCCACCTACTCCTCGGAAAAGGAAATACCGTCCCAGTGCCCCACGTAGCGCTTACCTGACATAAAGCAGAACTAATGGCAGCGGGCTGTTTTGTGGAACGAGCGTTCAAGCTGCAGTCTACTAGTTTGCCAAATCTCCTTCAGTTTCTTATTAGAAACAGTAGCGTTAGCTTCCAGTTCCACCGACAGTGACGGCAGGAGACCTCCCGTTCGGGACCCGCCTCTGGAACCCACGCCAGGCTAGAGATGGCCGCACAGCAGTCCCATGTGTTTGTTTTGTTTTTGAGTTGTATCCTCATGCAACCTTGTCAAAGACCTCATGCAATATCACTTTGAAATTTATTTTCTGTTTACTACACAAACATTGTAATATAACTGTTAATACTATTTATATATTTGAAAGGTATAAGAGGTAGGAGTTTTAAAAAACCCCTCTATGTGTACATATTAACTCAGAACTTCCACTCTACAGGGAGAAGACACGTTGCAATACAAGCTAATTGTAGCTGCTTAGTAACCTCTGGAGTTTTCAAAGGAACATTTTCCTGTACTTTTTCAAATAACAATGTTTAAAACAGTTACCTTGACATGAGTGTCATGCATCTTTGCAAAAGGATGGCTGTTTGCAGTTGAGGCCTGGGCCGGCCCTTCCTGTTTCCGTAGATGCTGCAGCTTTATTCAGAGAGTCTACAGTTGCTGCTTCCTGATCTCCGAGTTACTCTTTTCCAAATTGTCTTCTGACACTGTTGCTGAAGTCAGTCTGTACACATCCTAGACACCGATTTTTTTGCCAAGCTCTTACAGGTGGTTCATCGACCGACGGCATCCGCATTTGGTATCTTTTACACTTCAACCAAAAATTTATTAGGTATTTTTCAATGCTAAGTCTTGCCTTTTATTTTTTAATTTCACTGCCAAGTTTGCAGTGGTTCTAAGTGAATCTGTGGGCATTTTAGCCTGTGGTCTTGCCAGATCTTTGCGAATTACAATGCATATATGTCTATTTATTCAATATCTGTCATATAATATCTATTTGGAAGAAGAAACTTTCTCTTGTAGTGCCTCTTGACAAAGCACAATTTCCCGCCTTTTTTTTTTTTGTGAAATGAAGAAAAAAAACAAATTGTGTTTTATTGCAGTATCAATAATGTGAATAAGGATTAACATATTGTAAATGTTCTTTTTTTCCATGTAAATCAACTATCTTTGTTATCACTAAGTGATAATTTTTAACTTATGTGCATTGTTAGGCTGTTAGAATTTTTTGGTTGTTAAATAAAAACGCATTCAATAAATCTGACTTTGTTTGTCAAATAGTTTACTGGGCGTTGCCCTTCTCTCCCATTTTAATTCTTCACGTGGAGCTAGACCTGGAGGACCTAAGAAAAATCTGCACCCTTATTTTAGAAGTAAGACCACGGTACCCACGGTTACAGATGTTTGAGTTCTGTTCGGTGCACAGATTTAGTTGTGCACGTGAATTGTGTGTGTGTCTCAGCATATCGGAACACACTCATACTCACATGCTGGAGTGAGCAACCAGGCAAGTTGTTTATCTCAGCATCATCTCGTATACAAACAAAAATTCAAACGTATAAAGATATATTTATGGGCTCACGTCTTTATTTTTCTAGTGAATATTTTCTGTTTATAATTAAAAACCACAAATGACTGCGTGTCAGGAAACTTTTGGAGCACATATGTCCATGGTTAATGGACATAATAAAAGTCTTTTATATTTAGAGCTCGGGTACCATAATGTGTGCATAGAGGAATGCCGGAAGGATTGATGTATCTGAGAAATGTGCGAAAATTATTTTTTAAAAAGTGCTTATGATGGAAAAAATTACTCAAAAGACTAAAATTAATAAAGAGCAAGTGTTTAGCAGCAGAGAAAGTAAATTAAAAAGTGCTCTTGGTTTTTTAGATACTGTCTATTTTCCATGCTGTCCCCCCCCCCCCCCCGCCCCGCCCCGCCTTTCTTATCTCTCTGCTTTGGTGGGTGCTCAGACTAGCTTTTCTTTCCCTTTTCCATGATGGTTTGTAGCTCACAAACCAGGTACATCTTAAAACTGTGTTTACAGAAATGCAGACAGCCTCAGGCTTTTAAAGAGTAACTGAAGCCCAACTTGGGGTGACCCTTATTCTCAATGCAAATGTAAATGAGCTCTGGTTTGCTCGGGAAGATGAGGAAGAAAAGCACTGGATGACAATTTGACTTTTAACACAGCAGCCTCTGCATTTCCACATTCTTTCTGCATGTTAATGGCCGGAGTTCACTAGAGATAAACTGTAAAGTGAAAACCACCGCCAGACAAATTAGCCCCTCTGCCCAGGGAACAGTCCCTGTCCTGGCTGCCTCTATTTTCAGGAAAGCAGAAGGAAATTTCTGAACTACCAGAAGGGTCCACCTCTTCATGAGGGGAACTATAATTGCAAAAGAGTACCTGGGGTAAGATGATCAATCCTCACTTAGAAAGACAAATGGGACGTGCATTGGATGTAGGAGAAAACAAGTAACAGGACAGGAGCCTACCGCAAAGGACTTCTGAAAGACTCTACCTAGCAGTGTATCAAAGCAGATACTAAGACTCATAACCAAACCTTCGGCAGAGTGCAGGGAATCATATGAAAGAAGGGGAGTTAGTATGACATGGAAAGGATAGGAGCTCCACAAGGACCAAATATATCTGGGCTCAGGAGTCTTCTAAGACTGATAACTTCTGCTCGGATGTAGCCCATGGTAGCTCAGTAACCAATTGGTTTTCCCTAGTAAGGAGAACAGGGACTTTCTGACAGGAACTCAATGGCTGGCTCTTTGACCTCCCCACCCCTCAAGGGAGGAGCAGTCCTGCTAGGACACAGAGGAGGACTTTGTAGCCAGTCCTGAAGATACCTGATAAAACAGGGTCAGATGAAAGGGGAGGAGGTCCTCTCCAATCAGTGGACTTGGAAAGGGGCAGGGAGGAGATGAGGGAGGGAGGGTGAGATTGGGAGGGAAAGGAGCGGGATACAATGGGGATACAGAGTTAATAAAATGTAACTAATAATAAAAATTTTTAAAAAAGAAAAGAAGAATCATGATCTGGAGTGGTTTTGGAAGGCTTAGCTTCATATACAAATGGGGAAAGGGGTCAAGAAATAATGACCAGAATTAAACTTTTGCCTCCTCATAAATCAAGGATGTGGCCAAGGTAAGTTGTCAGAGGTTACTCAGAGCTCTCCAACTTACAGGCCCATTTTCCCCCCTTTATGGTCCAAAATAACTTTTTGAGCTCTGCTGTCACCTCCACCTTCTAGAGACACAGAGAGGGGTACAGAATTTTGAAGATTTTTTTTTTCACAAGCCCTGTGTTTGAATACATGGGGGAGAAGTGTTTCCACCTATGCCATTAGTTCCAGGAAAAGGAGAGTGGATTTGGGGAGGCAGCTAAGAGCTTCTGCCCTGGAGGACAGCCAAAAAGGATGTTGAAAATAATAGATAAGGAAAAGAGGAAGGGGCATTTTCCCCCGGTAATCTTCCCTGGACCTTTGATCTTCCTCCCGTTCACCCTGCATTCATTATCCCCATTTCTAGATCCATCCAGTCTCAGGATCATGATGTCCTTCTGTTTTCCCAGAAAGTCTGCATGGATTTGAGGCTAGCCTGAGCTAAAAAAAAAAAAAAAAAAAAAAAAAAAAAAGGAAAGAAAAATATCTTTTGAAACAAGGTATTCAAAATTAGAGACAGAAGGCATACTGCCCAATAAGACAC